TACCAGCAGAATATCTAATTATTGCTTAACATTTTCAATGACTGAGTTGTGGCATTCACATTCACAGTTTGAGATATCTCATGCTGGGAGAATGTCACAGGGTAAGTGCCCAGCCCCATTTGCCAAGTTGAATTCCCTGAAAATCCTTAAAATTGAAAACTCAGAATCTAAAAGAAAATCCCAGAATGCTACTTCAGGCCAGCAAATTTTGCAATGTTTGAGAATATTAATAAATACTATGTTCTTGTTTTTTTTTTTTTCTTGACACTGTTTCTTGCTAAGTATTTTGAAGAAGTTGGGATTTGTACAAAGCTGTGACCAAGGAACATAGAGCGTTGCCTAAGCAGATCGTGTTCTGCTTTCTAAGTCCTATCAGTAGGGCTTGTTGTGTGCTTCTGGACAAACACGATCCTCCTTGTTATGACTCACACTCTCGTGGTCTCTCTCCAGCACCTACTCAGAGACACTACCCTGATCCATATCACTGAGGTCAGCTTTAAAAGAGAACAAAGTCTATTATTTCAGGGATGATTTTGTCCCCAAAGGATCCTTAATGTAGCAGGCAGCTGTGTCAACCCAAACTCTTTCTACTATCACTGTCCCCACAGTTCAGCATACCTGAGCTCTTGCAGCACAACTGGCTGGCTGTTCATTTTAAGCTCTACAGCAAAGGTAAAAACTTTGAAACTGAGAAAAGAGTCTTGGTGTTTGCCCTTCTCTTTTTTCTAACTTTTCTCTAGGTAGCCTCCAACTCCTTCGAGACTGAGAGGTGGGGAAGAAGGAGGGAAAGGGAAATAAATTTAATTCCATCCTCTCCTGCAAGAACAAACATCAGCTTGTAGTGGGACAGATTTCTCTCTGGGACTTCCTCTCCTTTCTCTGGGCTGACAGCAACCATTTCAGACTGACTCTGAAAGCCAGGGAGACCCGACAATTTAAAAGCCAACATGTCCCCTCAGAAGTACAAGCCTTGCACTCCCACCCTGCTTTGAAGCACCGGGAGTTGCAAGTCTCATGGCCCTGTGCTGGTCACTGTGGAACAGTATTTATCCGGAGGGAGGGTGGTTTCGGGGTGGAAGGTGAGGTTTCCCTTTCTGCGCTGGTGCAGAGCTGGCGCTTTGGGGAGTCACATCAACGGGTGAGTGACCTGTGCAAGGAAAGGAGAAGTTTTCTCGCTTGGAGACACAGCGCAGCAAAGCCCCCTGTGACTTTCAGAAGAAAAATGTTCTGGCCAAAAAAAAGCTTTTACTACCAAACATGGCAAATATATAATAAAAAAAAAATGCTGAGCAGTGAGAAACAACAACATAGGCTCTGGGAAGGGGCTGTTTGCATTTCTGCTGTTCTGCTGATGGTGATCAAAGCCCGATTGCTGTCTGGACTGGAGGCAGTGCCACCACTGAGGAATGCTGCCCGTTCTTTAGCCCAGTTGTCTTTTCCATAGGAGCAGCTGATGGAGCTTCCTCTTGCTGCAGGAGCTTCCCTCCCCAGGCCTCAGGGTTCCTGAAGAAGCTGCCTGGAGCTCCTCAGAGCACGCTGGTGCTCAGAGGAATCAAATCAGGAAAAATCATGGTCTGGCACAGTGGGTGTGGGAACTCGGAGCTTATAATGACAGCAACAGTGTAATTGTAAAAAACAATGCGCATGGGACTTGGAAAGAAAAAAAGGGATATTCCATCCTGACAGCTGGACTGGATCTGCTGTGAGGAGGGATGGGGAAGCTGAGAGGCTTTCAGTTCCTTCCCCCCACAGCACCAGGCTTGCGCACGCGCTCCTGCCTGGCGTGGTCACCGTGGGGGTTGTCCACATGCGCGTTGCTCTGACTGCGTGGTAGGAATAACGCCAAGAGCTGCTGGTGCCTCCTGGGCAGCCTCCCGGGAAGGGGCCTCGGTCACCCAAGCACCAGGGACCGCCACTGTGAGAGGACGAGTTACACTGTCCCTGACAGCAAAGCCCAGGAGACCTCACACACCTCTCTGATGGTCTCAACACGGCCTGCTGCAGGGCAGGACAACACAAACGTGCCAGGAGAGCAATGCTTGGGGCAGGTTGCTGCCCCGCCACAACCACAGCAAGGAGAGCCGGGCCCTCCTGTCCCTGGGAAGCACAGTCGCTGGCACAGCCACACAACCGTCCTGTGGTGCCTGTTCCTGTGCTAGGAAATGCAGACGGTGCATAGTGCCCATACAGAAAGAAGGTAGGTTTGATTGATAATCTACTCACATTGCCAAGAAACAGCATTACTGTAATCCAAGGTGCTAAAGGAGAGAGTTCGGCTTTGCTCTTCCCAGTGCTCAGGCCATGAGAAGCGACTTGCAGCTCCGCTGCCGGCCCGAGGAGGGAAGCCCAAGGCAGCAGTGGCCTTGCCAGGTTGGTAAGAGCCTATGAAGGAGGGTTTATAGGGCCCAGATCCAACGTGACACCCCAACCCCAACCGTTTTGACCGATCTAATGAAAAGACACTGCCTGTAACTGCGGTTTGCTGAGGCAGGACCAGCCTTCCCCGTCCCCAAGCAGTTGCACCTCAAGTCCATAGGGGAGATGGGGCAGCACCAACACACAGGCCCAGCCAGATGGCGGGAAGGTCCTGGGCAAAGCCACAGCAGCAGCTCTTCATGAGTTGCTTAACAAGGGCACCAGTGAACCTGCTGGCCACAGGTTACTGCAGGAACCGCCGAGAGGGAGGCAGGGACACAGCACACAGCACCACCAGCTCCGGAAGGGAACGGCTCGGCTTTGCGCAGGGCGTTTAGCAGGGCGACGGCTCGCCTGCCTGCAGCGGCCCGTGTGGCGTCAGCACGGGGCTCATGGCGCAAGGGGCTCCAGCAGGAACTAAATGTACAGGCTCTGCGCTGCAGAACAGGCTTCCCACAGGAGGAAGAGTCTGGATGGAGATAGCATGAGAAGATCCACAGGGCAAAGGGGGAAGCAGCCTGCGTACTCAGCGGATTCAGGAGGCTCCTAGGAGCAGGAATATCCCCGGCTTCTGCTCTTTTTTTGCGTTGCTTCAGGAACCGCTTTGGCTTCCTCGTCAGCAGATGGTGCTAGAGGAGGGGCAGAGCGGGGAGCCCACGCTGTGGGCGCTGCCGCAGAGGAGCGGAGCGGCTCGCGCAGGCAGCGGAGCTGGGCTCGGCCCTCAGGGCCAAGGGCCGGGGCCTCCCCGCGCTCTTCCCGGCAGGATGAGCCCCCTGGGTTCCCCCCGAGCGCCTTCCTTGGCCTGGCCTGGCCGAGCAGACGCAGCCTGGAAATGGCGCCTTGGGAAGGAGCGACTGCTCTTTCGCAGTATGGCTTTCTCCTGCTTTCCTTCTACTTGGTTGATTTGAGTCTCTGAGAGATAATAAATAGGGACACAAAGATATTTTTAAAATAACTGCTTTTCAGTGCAGGCCAACGTACTGAATAATGGTGCGAACTGGAAGTCAAAGATTTTAACTCCTGAGCTAAATCACAGGCAAATTTTTCCAGTCATTTAAATGACCTGGCTTTTCCAGCTCCTACCATAGCCCTCAGGGGCAGTGCAGGAGGCAAGAGTACTGCAGCATCTTCCGAGGCCTCCGATTGTGACTTAGCAGCATCCAGCACCTACACCCCACTGCGAGTGATGGAACTCCTCAAACCAGGCCTAGCTGAAGGTCTGCAAGAGAGGTGCCCCGGGAAACCCTCATCCACATGTGCCCAGCTTGGTTGCAGATGTGCCTCACCAGCTCACTGAAAACAGATTTTCCATTGACTTTAAGGCCTTGGTATGTCACCTTCAGTTTTCTGTATCTTGCTATGCTGCCACATAGGGGAAGGTGTCTGCAGATTGGTGAAAATATGTAAGTAGAGGCAGCACCATGACCCTGAAATCCAGCCTTACAGGGACTGATGGAGGCTGTAGTCATGAGAGGAGTTTGATATGGGCTGGTGTGTGGGCTAGGTGTCCTCATGTCCTCTCCCCTTTGGAAGAGGAATACAAGTCAAAATCCCAAGTTAAGCTGTGGCCATGACTGGAGTCCTAGCTGTTACTCAGAATTAAATCAGGAGAGAGAGAGAGAGAGAGAGAGAGAGCACTAATTTGTAGGCAACAGCAATATGAAGGCAGTGGATAGTGAAATATCTAGGAGTCAGAAGTGGTGTGCAGTCAGCTCCTTTGAAGCCTTTTGTATTTGCCCTGGGAAAGAAAATACTTTGCACTAATCAAGCACTTTTCAAGACATTTTTACAGACATGAAAGCTCACAGCACCCCCATGACACAGGTTCACATTAGTATTTCCTTGTAATCAGACAGATTGCATCACGTTCCTCACAGTGAGCTGGCAATCAATCTGTGTTGAGTCCAGTGAGGTCCCTTGCTCAATCACTGCACCAAATGCCTTTAGTTTTCCTCTAAGCAATCATCAAGAATGCCAGTATTCAGCAATGCTTTTATATTGCTATGCCTCTGGCCCCACACTATAAAACAAAATGCTAACCTTTCTTTCAGCACCAGTGCTGCTTTTCCATGAGAAGAACAGGCAGTGGGGGTTAGGAGCCTCATCAGCTCTGGGCCATCTCTCTTCCTCTAAGTGATTTATTGCAGTCTGATTGCAAAAACGACATTCTTGGGACATCAAATCACTCCATAGTCCCTTGACCATCCTCAAGTTAAAAAGACTCAAGGGCAAACAAGCTATGCATCCAGTATTTGTTGAGCTGTAAACGCCATGGAACATTCCACCCCCCGCACAGTTTCTGGTTCCCTGCAGTCTGTGATGTCCCAACAGGAGAACATGTGCTTGAGGATATACCCTGCGGCTTCACTGGCCAACAGTGTTGCAGCTGGCTACAACTAGACCTGCAGGCTAAAGGGTTTTGTGTTTCTGCTCCTCCAGTCCCTTCTTCCTCAGTTTTGTCCTCCAGGCTGCTCCTAAATTTATAGCAACATAATTTTAAGTAGAGAACCACCTGGCTGAGAGTTTCTGCATCAATGAGCAGGACCTTAACTGCCCGAGCCCAAGAGTATGTAGTTCCTCCAGGTTAAACAAAGCAGCAAGACTGGAATATTTATCAGCAAAGTAGCAGACAGGAAAAATAGTTTCCTTTGGTAGAATTCACCACTCAAGATCTGCAGCTCCATCTTCTGCACAGTTGCGCACATGGAAATGCATGTAGCCTGATAGAAGTTTTCTACTCATATTCTGATTCCATGGACTTCACAAGGGTCTCGCATTCCGTGTTTTCCCCAATGCATATGTTGCTATAGTCATTGCATTTCATGGTGATAGTTTCATATGATGCTTCATTCCTAGAATTTACCTCCTCCTGGTCCTTAGCAGTCTCTGTTCTTGTGACATCTGCAGTGCTCCGGCTGAAACAACAGAGAGAGAGATTAATGAGGAGGAGCAAATCAGAAACCATTCGATCTACACCCTGACCACAGAACAGCAAAACTTACACTAATCTACTAAGAGTCTGGAGGACTCTGAAGGACTCTCAGGAGCAATATTCAAAGAACCACACAGAAAAAGAGGACATAAAACACACTGATATCATAGTTGCTGCTGGCATCATCATGCTGGCATTCAGCAGACTTTCCAAAGGTTGGACTATCACCACATAGGGCAGCCTTTGCAAAATAACTATTAATAATTGCTGAAGCAGCAATTGTGGGGCCACAGGTGGGTAAGATATATCTCTGAAGAGAAAAGAAGGACGAAGGGATTAAGGGCTGGAATTAAGACAGGCAGGGAACACGTTGTTATCAGTAGAAGCAAACAGGAATTGCACAAAATGTTTGGATAACCACTGGGGAGTGTTTCTTAAGCAAAAGGCATGTACAGAGAGAATTTATCTTGAGGGAAGAGGTGAGGATTCACCCTCTCCACTCTGTGAGAAAACATTGGAAATTTACTACAGACAACAGCTGAGCTGTGGCATTGGCAAGACAGAGCGAGGGACCCAAAATACCGTTCGCTCATTCTAGCACACTGAGGAACAGACCTTCTCTCTCTGTCTTCCGCACTGAAACGCTAATATCAAAAGCACTGCCGGGGGTTCAGATCCTCCCCTCTCCCCAGAAAGTCGGGAATCTTTGCTCAGTGGGAAAAGAGGCTTTTCTGAAACAGGTGCCAGTACTGAGTCCCTCAAAGTCTTCTCAGCATCAGAGGAAGAATTGTACTCACAAAGCAACTTCATAGAGAGGTTCTGGAAAAAAGAGAATCAAACATGTACATCAGTGAGTTTTAGGTTAACCTGACAAGCAAAAACCCCAGCTGCTCCCAAGCATCCCCCCACTCAGGAGGTCACCATCCTGCCTTGCCTCTCCCCAGGGCCACTTCCCATCAGCACTGGGACGTTCCAGAGCGTCCTGACAGAAACGGTGAGGTGCGGGGCTCCCAGGCCACGAGCCAATGCGGTTCCCAGCTCACGCCACGCTCTGCACCGGGGTGGAGCTGGAGAGGGGCAGAGGGACGGCGGAGCTGGCTGCGGCCCGGCCCTTGGTCCCTACGCAGAGTGGCTGGTGCGGAGCAGCGCGGAGCAGGCAGTGCCCCCCCCGACGCAAGGAGCTGGTCCCGGTGCCACCTGCTCCCCGCTGCGGCTCTGCTCACCATCCCGGTCCCGCGCCGTTGCCTTCCCTCGACAGGCGATGGTCACGGCGATGGAGACGAGCACCGCCCCGCAGAGCCCGGCCAGCAGGAAGA